TGACGGTAGAAAAGTTATAGCGAAGTCCCCCAAGGAAGACCCCCCTCAGTAACTTCAGATCCACTCTCAGAATCTGGCGAGCTTCAATGGAGAAGCTTCAGAAGTAGTCATTGAGCGACTCTCACTCATTTTGGTGAATTCTCGAGAGATTGGATGAATCATTGATGATCCGGCGATTTGTCATGAACTGCTCCATGAATAGTCTAACAAGATTGTTAAAGGTATTGACGCTTGAGAGTGATCAAGAATACTTGACATTGAAGCGTATCAGAATCATGATGAATATGCATGATGGTTCGGTTGTGGTCAACATGCTCGTTGAGGTTATTTACCCCTTCGTAGGCATCGACGTTTGGGAGCTGGAAGCTCGTTGGGATGGGGTGTTAGAGGACCACCTCTACTAAAGAAGAGGATTTTGGGCGGTTGTGGTCAACATGCTCGTTGAGGTTATTTACCACTTCGTAGGCATCGACGTTTGGGAGCTAGAAGCTCGTTGGGATGGGGTGCTAGAGGACCACCTCTACTAAAGAAGAGGATTCTGGAGAATTGTGGAGAGCAAGAAAGTAATCCTTTTTCTCCAGAGGTAACTCTTCCCGGACCAGACATTGTGGCATGTCACGGATGACATCTTCAGGAATGAAAGTAAGGCGAGGCGGTGCCAAGTGAAAGGTCTCGCGAGATGGATAAGTGGAACTTATAGAATCCAGGAGGTCAGCATCCTGACCTGACAGGAGAAAAGTTCCCTCGCGAGGAGGAGGCCCAGTACCAGTAGTTTCGAGCAACGCATTTCCTGTCGACTGCTTAAACAGAAGCAAGTAAGCTCCATCGGGTAGCGGATGTCGAACACTGCGTAAGTGTTGTAGAATCTCCAGTTGAGACTCCTCTATCAAGCATACTCAGACTTCCAGAGAAGGACCCGAGGTGGCTTTGTTAGTAAGGCAACACCTTATAGGGTGGGAAGATGAGGAGGTCTGACGCCCTTGGCTCCATGACCGTCCTCTAAAATGTTGGGTGTTGGAACGTGAAGCTTCGTTGTTACCTGTGTTGCGTCTGGCGTCCATGCCACAAATTTTGCTATTAGTCTAATGGTGGGATTGTCTTTTTCCCATATACGGCGTCAAACTGATATGCGGAAGAGAATTTATGGTGGCAGAGTGATTAATTAATGTATTAGCATTGCACGAAACCGGACACACACTCAAGTAATAGAAATGATGGTCACAAACCGCATGAAAATTTATTACGTGGAAAATCTGAAAAGAGAAAACCACGGGGCCAAGCTCTTTTGAAGAGGTCCACTATATACCGGTGATTACAAATGCAGTCCGTTGTCTCACAGGCAGAAACGAGTCACATAGCCTCTTATAACATCAGAAATGGAAGGAATTGTAACTCCACGGTAGAGAGCGGTCGCAAGGAGAAGCAATAGTCAAGGATTCAATGCAACGCCTTTAGGTTCGGCATGATGGTGTCGCTTTGTAGGTTGTTTCGTACAGTGCTTCTTTGCAAGGAGCAGGCGACAACCGATGGTAATTGAAAGTGGTTTGTGAGTGATGGTTGATGATGGTTGGCGGTAGTCGCCAACTTCATGAGCAGGAGGTGTTTAACGGATCGTCGGTGCAAAAATGATGTTGAACTTCAAATCTTTCTTCAAGCTTCATTCTTCTTAAAGCTCCAAGCTCTAGATCTTCTCTCATGAGAGAGGTAAGGCTTTATTTATAGAATCCCGGTTGTAATTAATGAAAGAATCTGAATCACTTTGATCGGACAGCCCTGAGAGAATGTCTCGATCGGACAGCATTTGATGGACATTTGAGTGTCTTAACGATGTCAAAATTGAGCAATCATGGGCTTATTAGATTAGTTTTGTTGAGACGCTCAATTCGACCATATGTTCGCCGGATTCAATATCCGTCTGACCTTTCAAATATGCCTGGAAAGCTTCCATATGAGGTTTAATAGCTTGATTGGGGCTTGATTTGATTCAGATTTGACCAATTTTAGTATTATTGGGTCCGTCTCGTCAAGCCATTTGGTTTGATTGTAAGCTTGCTAAAATCGGAGCTCTGAATCAATTTTGATTGAAGTTTGAACGTTCTTGCTCAACAAACTATCACGAGATCTCTATCATGCCTCGTGATTGATGCATGATGATGGGAATTTATTGATGAGGTATCAAAGCACAAAAATGGAAGTTGGTTTGTTTTGATTTAGTGAAAGGAGATGAGTTATAGGAGGGTTTCATGAATGAATTTAAATGATGTTTGTTTGTTTTGTGAAAAATCATTTCTTGTAAATTTTGTTGGAATACAAGTTTTAGTTTCAAACTCCATCTCATTAATTGTATATTGTTATTAATATGAATAAAAGTGGACCCTTGCTCATAGGGTTTACCACTAATCCATACTAAACAAACTGATTTTTCATACCCTTCACGCTTAGCAAACAACAGGCTTGCAAGAAGTAAATCATTGAGATCCTATGTAATGTCCCAAAAGTGCTTGCAAAAGTAAATAAAGATAACAATAATAGCAATGTTTGATCATCATCATCAAAAACTATATCAATCTCTCTTAAGACTTGGATGATAGAGTTGAATTCATTTCTATGAGATTTGATGAGCATATTGTCATGCATGTGGAAGTAAATATAGCCCTCGGCACTTGCCTTTTGTAGAATTTGTTGGATAAGATCTTGAATAAAAACTTCCAATTGAACCACAAATCATCAACAGTTGTTTCCACCAAGCATCTATAAAAGACCCATCCGCCAAACATAAAACATATCTAAATCGCAAAGAAAGCTCTTTCATATATGTTTCCCTCATATTTATCACTTGTTATTACATGCATCTTCAAATGCCACATGAGTGCATTTACCAACTTTTTTGGATGAGAACTCCAATAATCTTGATCCACCAAAGTCATAAGCAATGCGAACAATCAAACTTCTCAATCATATAACTCATAATGTTTGCTCAGACACCACTTGTTAAGATTCATAATAATAAAACATCAAGCAAACAACAACAACAAGAATAACTAAACCACTTGTAAGAAATATATTGCACACATAAAGGGGCATACAATTTATGTGGTTAAAGAAGATCCACCTATGTCCATAAGCGCATAAAAAACAAAATATTCCACTAAGCATTATGATCCAGTGCAATACATATTTCTCCATACACTATGAGATAATTAAATGTTACCACATTGATAAAGACAACGGGAGAAAATTAAACTAAATTTTCTTCTTGCTGTCACAAATCAAGCGGAAAACATGCAGCCACTTAATGTGGTGGGCGAGGAAACAAGCTTCCAATTGATTTTCCTGCCTTGAGGTATCTGAGAACTGCTCTAGAATTTCCTTCTCTCTCGTTTTTTATTCTCTATGCTCAAACTACTCCACTGATGCAAGCCTTGATGATCTTCCCTATAGCAACACTCGATCTTCTTCCTCCCTCCTCATGCTTCCCCCAAGCTCCCCTCACGAAATTAAACATTTTTATTTCTCTGTCATGAATGGTCAAGCCTTGATGATCTTCCCTATAGCAACACTCGATATTCTTCCTCCCTCCTCACGCTTCCCCCAAGCTCCCCTCACTAAATTAAACATTTTTATTTCTCTGTCATGAATGGTAATGTCGGTGTAGGATGCACTTGTGAGATCACTAGAGACTGTTATTTATATATGAGATAATGCATAAATATGTAAAAATACTTTTGTCCTATATGCACGAAATAAGATTTCTCACATTATTCTCTCTACAAAATATCTAAATCAAACCGCAACAAATGATTTTACAATAATGAGAATGATATATTCAAGGAGAACTCTTTCAGGAAGAAAATTTATTTTCCAAATATCACTAAACAAGAGCTATCTACTTTTTGGCGCATATAAGAGAATGGAGAAATGAAGTAAAGAAAGGGAGCTATTACTCCCATCTTACATAGAGATTATTAGAGTAGGATATATTGAGTTGGATTATTACATTTTTAGGAAAAATGAAATTTGCAAGAAATTAACATGGTTTGGTGAAATTGCCAATGATGCAGGTGGATTTAAGTGTAATAAAGAGAAGTGAAATCATCAACTTGGAGGGAGAATGCGATCAATAGCCATATTGATATCGAAGTTAACCCGACCCACAATAGGGAAAAATATATATTATTACTGACTGAAAGCAAATAAGTGGTTAGAACGAATACATTTGAAAGGGGAAACGACAACAAACATGACATACGACACGCTAAAATATGAAATAACAACAACGCGAATCACGACATGCGGCTAGGGTGGATCTTGGGGTGGGGTTGATGATCAGCGAGGGTTTGGGCATCCAAAGAGGTAGCAAAATGGCGGCTGGAAGGCTGAAATGGTGGTGGCAGCAAGAAGGAAGAGCTGGACAGCGGCAGGTGGCAGGGCAGTGGTCTGAGATGGCTGGAAAAGCCTCTAGTGGGAAGGGGATAGGATTTATGGTGGCTGGAACTGTGAGGTCAGCAAGCAGAAGCACTCTCAAGGAACTTGGGCTGAAATGTAGAAAACAGAAGGCAAATGGCTGTTTTCGGGCGGCTGCAGCAACGGGGAATGTCAGCGGCAGCGGGGAATGCGTGGGGACTGCAGGACAGCAAAAGTACGGCCGTCCAGGTTGGCGGCAGTGAGGATAAAGGACTGGAATTGTGAAACTGCAGGGAAAACAGTAATATGAGGCTGTTCAGAGGCTGCTGCAAAAAGGGAGGTCGGTCGGGAGGGACATGGGTGAGATGCAAAGGGGGATAAGGAAGATAATCACCACATGGAGATCAAGATACAACCAAAGCACCGCATAAAATCCTGGGATACAGCCCTCGAAGGGAGTAATAACGGATGTCGGTGGTTGTCATAAACAAAACATGCAAAAAACTGACTTAAACACAACAAATAATATATATATAATCTTAGAATAAAGAGTCAACCCTGCTCCAAATAAGAAAGAACTGAGCGCAAGGAAGAACATTTGATCTTTCTCCCATTTTGACCAAGCCGGTCATGTGCGCCATTTGCCCCGCTCGCTCGAGCTTGGGCGCCCTCGAGCCAGCTATGGCACCCCCAATTTCCTGCATCAAGGTGCATTCACAGGATAGTGTGTCACATATTGCAGTAATAAAATCTTATAACTTTTAACTCACTTGATTTCAAGTATGGAAGGGAATTGCACCCTTCTATCTGGCCTTCTATTTGATAATTACACTCATTGCACCAGCCAGCATGAGCTAATAATCTTACAATTAAACCTGATTCATTTTTCGCACATAGGTACCAGCATTCAAAACTCTTAAAACTCCAATTGAGTTTGGCTAAAAATGTTTGTGGTACGAATATCATTTAATACTGAAATTTCCAGCAAAAATCTTATAATCCACAAGTCAAGATTTTGTAGAATTGAAAAGGTTATATATATAGTACTTCGTCATTTTAAGTTGCGAAATAAATACTTCTTCTGCCAATGAATTGAAGTAAGTAATGATTATATACTCTAATACATCCTTTTCTATATTAATTAGGTAAAGAAAAAAAGGCTAAGGCTACTCTAGTTTTATCCTGCTCAATTTTATAAAAAAGGTTTCGATTTATGCAGGAAATGTGGTTTAAATTATTAATTTGCATGTTCAACTTCTATATACTTCATCAACAAAAGGTTGACTTACGCAATGACCTGTATTTTTATTAGAGAGTATTATGATATTAGAAAAGCATCCCCGACAACATCCAAATGAGCTGAAAATCAAATAACAGCAACCAATGATTTTATTTTCGTGGAACTACCAAAACTTTAAAATGAAAACTGGGTCCCGTTTTGAGGTGGGGAAGAGTATCAACAGAATGCTATACACTTGCTTTTTTTTGAGACCTCACAACGGAAAAGAGTAATGAGACATAATACTTTTGCCTATGGGTTAGGATTGTGCATTTATATTCTTCTTTTATACAGAAAATTCCAATCTTTAGTAATTTTGGAACGAATAATATTTCTTACTCTAATCACATGCAGAGCACTGTGCTACATATAATAATAAACAGATGAAACCAAATAGGAATCATTCCAAATAAGAAAAACAGGAAAAGGAAATATCTAAGGAAACACAATTATTGAAATATATTTTAAAGAAAGAAAATAAACTCCTTCATAATGTTGATTGGCACCTTTCATGCCTCCCCTCAAGTTGGGTTGAATATATAGTAAAATCAAGCATGGACATCAATTCATCACAACTGGTTCTTGGTAGTACTTTGGTGAGAATATCAACAAACTAAAGTCATGTAGAAGCATAGCTGAGCTAAACAATTCAATTATTAACATTTTCTGAGTTGAAGTATTGGTCAATCTCGATGTGTATTTTTTAGTCATGATATAATGGATTTTTAACATACTAATAAATTTATCACTGAATATCTTAATTGCGTCTTTCATCTCAACCTTAAACTCCGTTAATAAACTTTGAATCCGCTTTCCCTCACATATTCCTAGTTCAAGAGTACGATATTCAGATTTTGCACTACTCCGAGAGACGACGACTTGTTTTTTTACCTCTTCACTTGAAGAGAATGCCCCAGACATATGAACAGTATTTAGTAGTTGATTTCCTATTAGTTACATTTACTGCCCAACTAGCATCTGTGCATATCTCAATCTCGCGATTTTTCAAATCTTTTGAAGAACAAATCATATCCAAGGGCTTTTAAGTATCTTAGGATTATGTTTAAGGCTTCCGAATAATCCTGATACAGGAGGAGAAAGCCCAAACTACAAAAGAAACACAAATATTATTATTGCATTTGAAATCTGTTACTACAACTCTTCAATATGTGAAATAAAAGACAAATAAACACAAAGACACAAGACAACACCTCGAAAGTGTATCCCAAGGGCGGTGGAAGTTGGCCCAGTGGACCAAGAGGCTTAGGACAGCAAGTGTGAATGCGGGAGAGGGGCCGGAAAGGGTTGGAAAGTGAACTGGAGGAGGGAGGCAGCGGGTTAAGGTCTCAGGAAGGTTTAGTGGGCAGCTGGGAGAAAGTTTGGGAGGTGGGGTAGCAATATAGGAAAGTGGGACAGCAGCAGGGAAGTCTCATAAGCACTTTCGAAGGGTGGACAGTGAGTGGATAAGTGCTAGCAGCGATGGGAAAGGCCTGGAAAGCAAGGTAGACTGCTGAAAGTGGGTCGACTGAGTGCTGAGTGGAATTCTAGGCAGGTGGACAGCAAGATTGGGTTGTTCAGAAAGTGCGGCTGAGTTGGGATGGAGTATGGGGAGCTGCAGCTTTGCTGGGAGAAGGTTGGCAGCAAGTTGGAGGGAGGATAGCAGGCAGCGGTTGTTAGGGAAGAGGTGTGGTGGTCTATTGTAGGGCTGGGAAACGGGTGGACAGTAGCAAGAAGGGTGGAATGATAGATAAATATCACGTCGGGGTCGAGTTACAGTCGAAGCGCCACTGGACTCGTGAAAAATATCACCACCCAGACCTGTGGAGATAATCAGCACCTCGGACGAGGGACAGACAGAGCACTACCTCGACTTCGGATACAATCCTCGAAAGGGAAAATATTAAGGCTAAAACCTGATTTCAGATATCAAACACAAAACCCCTAACTCTAAGTACATCACCTACTATTTATAAAGAAGCTTGACCAAATTTAGGAAGGATTTCATATTTTGGAAAGACATTTAAAATAAGTAAGAAGGATAAAAGTATTTCAGATTTTTTGAAAGACTTTTAAAATAAGCAAAGAGGATAAAAAGAGATTTCAGATTTTAGAAAAGACTTTTAAAATAAGGAAGAAGAATAAAATTAGAATTTCAGGTTTTAGGAAAGGATTTAAAATAGGAAAATGGTTAAGAAGGAAAGGTGAGGGGGAGAGAAAGTAAATGTGAGGAAGGAAAGGGGAGGAAGAAAAAGAAAGGGGAGCAAGAAGGGGATAGGAAAGAAAAAGGGGAGAAGGAAAAGGAAGAGGGGAAGGTAACCCCCTCCCTTGAGGACCAGCTGGTCCTCCCCTGAGCCCCGCCTCATATCCATATTTAGATTATTCATATGTCGGCATACTACACTGACGAAATATGTAATATCAAGTATTGTGTGTGATAGGTAAAATAGTTTTCTCACAAATCTTTTATATCTTCCTTTGTTAACATGACTGTTTTTTTCGCTTATGTTCAACCTTTTGTTGGAATTCATAGGTGTGTCAACAAGTTTACATCCACGCATATCAATGTCATTTAACAGGTCTAAGATATACTTCCTTTGAGATATGACAATTTCTTCCTTGAACTAAACCACCTCCATTCCAAAAAAAAAAATCAAAGATTTATTAGGGCTTGGTCTCAAATTTTGCTGCAAGTATCCTTTTTAGACTGATAATTTCTTATGAATCATCATCTATCTAAATAATATCATCCACATATACCATGACAATAACAATTTTGCCTTTAGAACTAGATTTAACAAATAGTGTATGATCAGCTTAATATTAATAATATTTGTTTTTAATCAATATTTTAGCAAACCCATCAAACCAAGTATAAGGAGATTGCTTCAGGCAATATAAGGACTTTTCAACTTGCAAGCAAACAAGTTGTTCGACCCATTTTCTAATCGGATTATAGTCATTTACACTTCTTCATCAAGGTTGTCAGTCAAGAAAGCATTTTTTATATCAAGTTGGTATAAAGGTCAATCTTGATTTACTGCAACAAAGAGTAAAACTAGAAACATATTATGTTTGGGAACATGTGCAAATGCTTCCAAATAATCGATCTTATATGATTGCATGAAGCCCTTGGCAACCAGTTTGCCTTGGAATCTCACTACACATCCATCTCCTTTGTATTTAACCGCGAATGTCTATTTGCAGCCCACACTATCAAGGTTTTCCACAAAAGCTCTGTAAAATAGTAGCAACTTTTCACAGGCTACATATCTTTCAACTGGATGACCAGTGCACCCTCGAATACCTTTCATGTGTGCAATTGGTTGATGTAATCATTAACCACACAGTGCAAGAGAATGATGAGTTGAGGAATCCATATCATTATGATTATCAGGATGACTTGGTTCTGGCTCTTGACAATCTTGAGTCTGCATGGTATTCTCTACATGCTCAATGATCCTTCTAATGTAGACACGAAATTCTTGATCATTAAGATCATGTTGAGGTGGAGTAGAGATGATTGAGATTGTTTTTATGACAGAGTTTAGTTCTTCAAATGAAGTTGGTTGATATTTAGTCGAGACAAACAGAGCTAGTTGGAGGACATGATCTGTTTTAGTAAAAGCAAAAGTGGTTGGAGTGACTTCAAAAAAATTCCAAATTTGATATTCCCTCGACTCTGTCTCCCGAATTTTAGATTTGGGAAAATAAGATTAATTCTCAAAGAATGTGAAATCCATGGAGTTATATATTTTCCTAGTTGTTGGAGAATAGCATTTGCACCATTTTTTATTGAATGAGTAACCGAGAGAAATACATCTAAAAGAGTTTGGATCAAGTTTGGTGCAGTTGTTGACCTCGCTTTCGGTCGAGGTGTAGTTTTCCCCTCCTTAGTAGCCTAGGATCTAGCCGTAGAACCTTTCTGTCGACTACTCCTAGAAACTAGTGAAGGAGTCATTCTTGTTAGCAATTCTGGACTTTTCTTCGCTCGACATGACGTTTCATTTAGTAGTTTTGACCGCTATTGCTTGGCAGGTAAGACTACTCTGAAGGAACTCAGGAGCATTCCTATAGGATTGTCGGCCTTATGATTGAATTTACTCGTTAATTTGGCGCCGCTGAGCTCTTCGCCGTGTTTGGCGCCGCTGAGCTCTTAGCCGTCCTGTTTAATCGAATTCGAGCAGAGTTTTTGACGTGATCCGGGTCGCGACGCGTTTTTTACCCGATCGACGACGAGGTTGCCCGAACGACTCCGGATGATGAAACGCACTGCACCGATGAGTCCGGAACATCGATTTTGCCTACGGGAGACATTCGTTCCACCGCGACGACACGTCTGGGGAAAAACACGCATTTAAGTATTAATTATAATAATAAATAATATTTTATTATTATTATTATTAATACCTTATATTAATCCTAACATAATTTCATTACCTC